GTTCTTATGGATACTTTGGTTGATTTGTCGTATCTTAATCAAAAATTACAACACAAAGACAATATAATTTTTAGAGATATAATTGAAATTGAAAATTTTTACATCCATATAAATGATATGATATTGTGTGTGAAAAATGACAACTTTAGTTCAATGCAAAATGTTTCGAAGATTATGGCATTCGATGTAGAAAGGAGAAAAATTATGATATTGAAATTGTTGACAGTATTAAAAACAAAGTTCAAAAAACGGTTTCAATTTTTGGAAAAACATTTTGATAAGCTTCAAGAAAAATGTTATTTAGCAATAGAAATAGAAAAATATTTAAATAAAGAAAAAGAACTTGACTGTGATTTTGAAGTGTTAAGAGAGGGAATTGACATTATGAGAGAACAATATCATAATTCTTCAATATCTCAATTTAAAGAAGAAATCGTGCCCAGACTTGTTTTGAAAAACGGACATCTTGAAACTGACTATATATTAGATCTTCATTCTTTGCGTTCTTTAATACCTCGGAACACGGCTCTGTGGACATTTTACTTATACTTGCTTAGCGCATATTCAACAAGTTGCTTATCTGAGTCATCTTTTTCATCCGCAAAATTGGGTTGGAAACCTCATTTGTCAGAAATGGAATATAATAAGCGAATGTCGATGAAGGGTTCTAGAGACAATTTTGCAACTGCCCCCGATTTTCAAAAACATTCAAATGAGCAGTGAGATGATTTTGTTTAATTATTATTGATTAGTTTATTTTTTTTAATAAAAGATATTATTTTCTTCTTACAAAAATTTGAAAAAAATATAAATAACATTATATTTATTGGTAATTGTTATTTGTATATGCCGTAAATATTTATTTTAATATTATTTGACAATATTTTTATTTCTCTTTACCAAATAATTGCTCTATTTATATCGGCCAATTCCATCCTGGTTTGGAACACCCTGCACTTAGATGTCAATTAAATTTGACCATCGTTTACATTTTAATTTGATTCGCAACGTTTAATAGAGTCTTCTCTATTAACACTGTTTTAAAATAATAATAAATATAAGTTATTTAAAAGAAGTGAATAAATAATAATTGTTAAAGAATCTAGAAGCAAAAAGTTGTAAAATAATGGCACCATTGTTGAGTTAGATAGTTGATACTTTAAAAAGTTTGTTAAACATGTGTTTTATTTTTTGGAAACAATTATTTGAAAACATTTGGGTGGAGAAAAAACGGCAAGTAAGTAAATAAAACAATTTAACAATAGTATTAATGTAATCAAATTGAAATAACACGGAATAAAGCTTAATAAAATTAAATTTGTTTAGGTTTTGTTGAGAATTAGAAAATATAATAAAGTTTGATCAAATAAAGTTTGTTATAAAAAAGGCAAAAATCTTTTCAACAAACATGATGTCAAATGACAACAACATTTTTTGGTGTTAAAGTCAGTCCATAATAATTGTTCAGTTTTATAATAAAAAGAAACTGGTACAATTGAAAAGGAGTTTTATTTATTTTTTTTAAATACACAAGCAATTCACGAGATTATAAGAGGCAAGAAAATGACTAAAGTAGTTTTGTTATTTTGGTAACAACCATTTAAAGCCGGATTATTAAAGAGTAGTGAGGAGAAAAATTCTATCAAGCCTAAAATGCTCTGGTGTATAACAATGGATTTTGTCCAAATGATTTCGGCTTTTGCAATTTTACATTATTAAGAATTATTATCATTAAAGTATGAAAGCAACCAGACATGGTGAAATATAGTCAATGTTGTCTTTATTCAAATTTAAATTACACCAAACACTGGCAATTTTTATTAAGAAATCTTAAAAATGAACACATTCGAAGCGGTTAAAATAACTTCTGTGATTTGAATTGATCTATATTTAAAATTGTTGAAAAATAAATGATCAATTCGAATCGAAAGAAAATCAAAATTTTGTTTTATAGTTTAGTTACCATCTACTGGGCAAAAGTGTCCAGTAAATTATTAGGGACAATGTTTCCATGTTAGAGTTTCAAAAATGCTCATTATTTTTATTAACTGTTTTTTTGTGTGAAAAATTGAAGTTTACCACTTTACCATTATTTTCTTAGCGCAGAAAAAAAGCATCAAAAATGAAATCTTCATTTATTGTTTTTCCAAAACAACAACTGAGTAATAATTTCTTTCATGTTTTGATTTTTAGGTCTTTTCAAATAAATAAATCGGGATTATTACATGTTGGTAGATTAGTTTAGCATTTATATTATTATTTTATTAAAAAACTGCAACTTTTGAAAATACAAAATGAAGTTTTACAAAAGCAATTGTCAAAGTTTCATTCGGAGTTAATATCACAATATCCTTTAAATTCGCCAAATAATAACCTTATATTATTTTAAACCTATTTTGAACAACGTTACATTTTCTTCTCCTTTTTATCTTTGTTTTCTCCCCTCATTGTCAAATCGAGATATTTCAAAAAAGACAAATCCGAAACTATGGTCATCCATCAATAGAATAAATATAAATCCCGATTTGTTTGATATTTTATATCTATATCTAATACTTATCAGACTATAATGGAAGTCAATGGCAAACTATATTCAAACTTTTATACCTTAATTAAAATGATAAAGCAAACCCTGCGGTTATTTATATAACAGTAACTCTTGTTCCCGAAATGTTGTAGTTATATAGCCAATTAACTATATTAGACTTGAATGACCACCTTAATTGGAAGAAAGTTGGATAATCCTTTCAAAATTGCTTCATAATTTCAAAAAATCTGAAAATGCAACGTAATTTAAGCCCGTTTTATTAATTCTATACACATCAGGGAACATATGGACACCACCAAACGACCACTCGGTTACTCAGTAAACGCTGTAAAAGAGCGTGCACAAAAGAATAGATTTGCTTGTCAACAAAGTCTCCTTATTGGACTTTTGAACCATTACGCCAAAATCACCATAAAGCGTGCCAAAAAGGCTTCGATGCGGACATCGACAATTCCAGTGGTAACACAAATAGAAATCGAAGCTTCCAAGGTCGATGTGATTTCATTAGCCAACGAGAGGAGTGAGAGAATTAGAGAAATTGAACTTCAGAAAGGTGTTCCAAGTCAAACAGTTGAACGAAGGTTTAATAAAAACGTTAGTGCGTTTGTTCAAAACTTTGTCTTCGACACGTGCCTCGAGATGGGTTTCTTCTTCAACTCAAAACTTTCAAAAAAATCTAAAAAGTCCCTCCAAATTGAAAGAATTGACACTGTCTTTGACGGTGATCATATGATTGCTGATAAAGATAATATACTAAAAACAGGAGAAATTCTCAACAAGCTTTTTACAGAAAAGCTTAACGATAAAAGAGTTGTTGTGCTTGAAAAGGGTAATCCAGAAATTGAAGCGATTGTGTTCGCTAACGTGTTTTAAACATTTATGTATATCAATTCATTGGTCGCTTTGTCTTTTCATTTTTTGGTTTGAAAATTACTCTTGAGAAAAAACAATATGGTATGTTTTTTGAATCGTTTTTTAATGTGTGTTGATTGTTGACACTTTGTGTGATAATATGGTGTTTTTTTAAAAAACAAAAACCATTTTTGAAAAATCAAATAAATATCCCTAATTTTTATTTTTATAATCAGATTCATGTTTTCGAATAACAACCAAAAACAACAAAATTTGTTGAATAAAAAAATCTCTTACTCCATATTAATAGTTATTACAAAATAATGGTACAAAATGTGTTTGTACTTATATCAATTTTTAATGAACATTTTATTATTTGCGACACATTATATGTGTTTAAAAACACCCCATTATTTACTCCAATAATCACTTGAAAGTGATTGAAAATGTCCATTGAAAAATAAAAAACAATGATAACACATTTCTCTATTTGTATTATTGAAACATATAATATTGTATGGTCACTCTGCCTTATGTAAAACTTTGCCTTACAAAGACTCTTATAGTTAATTTATAATTAAAATAAATTTTTATATATTTTGATAATTACAAACCAAAAACACCAAAATCTTTTCAGCTTTTATTTATTCAAATAGTTTTTCTTAACTAATATTTAAAAAAATGTTGTATAATGCAGAGTGAGATGATGTTTATATATATCATATATATATAAACATATATATGATTTTATATTATTATATA